GGGGGGGGCTTTATTTTCCAGGCAGCTAAATCTGGGGTTCCTGGAGAGAGACTCCTTTGGCCCATTCCTAATCCTTTTCTCTTAGGACAGCTCCAGGCTCTCTGCTTTTCGGGGGTGGGGGTGGGGATGGGAAGCCTCCAACCCAGAGGGACTCAAGGTTATGCTATTATCACCAGCACTTCCTTTGATCCCAATCCGTGGACTGGGGGGGCTGCCTCTTTGGGAGATTATCCAAGGGCTGCAGCTTCTTGGAGAAACTGGCTTTGGCCCAAGGCTGCCCTGTCCTCCTTGGCACAGGATGCGGGAGGTCGAAGTGGCAGGCCGTCCTGTGCTGCTGGTGAGGGAGCACCTGAGGATCAGAGCTCTGGGAAGCAGGTGTCCTCATGGTGGAGCCCCCCTCTGCAAAGGTGAGCCAGCCCTGCCTGCCCCTCCCCCAAACACAGCAAATAAGGGATGTGGGTGGGCCCCTTGTCACATCCAAAGGCCTAGGTTTCAGGTGCTCTGGATTCAGATTCTGCTCGTGACAGTGATGCCAGAGAGGTCTTGGATCTCAAAAGCCACTCCCCCCCCGAGGCCCTGTGCTGAATGGCATTTAGGGCAGTGGCTTGGCTGCCAAGGGGCTGGTTCCTTCAGTGGATTCAGCTGCCTGTGGGCACATTGCGTGCCCTGGTTTCTCAGCAGTCACTGTCCCCCCTCCCTGCGGGTCTCTTTTTCTGAGTTTCAGGCTACTTGGCACGGGGTCGGTTACGTTGCCCCTGGCACGGTGCCTGCTTCAGCACTGAGACTGGTGACATTGAGGAATACCCCACCCTGGATTGCCTCCCCGTTTTCCATGTAAGTCTGAACTCCGCCTGCCCCCTCGTTGCTCCCCAAAGCAGAACATGGGTCTCAGTCCCCAGAGAGGCTTGCCTGCACAGTCTCTCGCCCGCCACGTGCCAGCCTCAGCTTCCTCCCTGGCAGCCTTCTCAAAGTCTCTTTTTAATGGGGGCTATAAACATTTCTGGAGCCCGTTAAGGGTAAGAAGGGAGTGCACACAGATTATGCGAAAGTGGCTGGTGAGCTTGCCCCCCCCCCAGCAGAGGACCACTGGGGCTATGGAGCCACCATTGGCCTCCCACATCCAAAGGCCAGACACGGCGAGGAAACAGACTGAACAGCTCCCCCCTTCTGGATCATCTCACCCTGTGGGGCCCACCCTAGGCCAGCCCCCAGCCTTCTCTTAGTCTGTTGGGACACAGCAACCCCAGCTGGCTACTGCTGTACAACTTGGGTAGAATAAAAGGGCCCACACGGGATAGCCAGGATGAGGCCCACACATGCACACCACCTCCAGCTCAGAACAGAATTGAGTAAAACCACGCGTTAACCAAAAAAGTGGGGAAAGCAGCCGAGCGTGTTAAGGGACGGAAAAAGGGTGTTAGAGCTAATCCCACCCATCGTGGGGAGAGGGGTTTGGCACTGGGGCTGCAGCAGCCTTCGGCAAAGGGATCAGGCCCGGGGATCGGCAGGGCAACTTGGCCAGGGTACAAGGGGCAGATCTGTGGGGGACTTATGGGGCTTAGCAAGGATGCGAGTGGCACCCTCCCTGGGGCAGGACAAATTTGCCTCTGCCTCTCCCTCCTGGGTATCAGGAAGGGGGCTCGGGTGTTCCTGGTCAAAGGGTCTCCTTTTGGCTCTGGTGGTCGGGGAGGGTCATTGTGCTTCCTGGCTAACTACCGGGGGAGGCAACTCTCACCTGCCAGCCTGCAACCATTCCTGTGAATTGCTCCAGACCAAGCCCTCGCTTGTTGCAGGTTGCCGTGAAGGAGGGGCAGGTGTACGTCTCAGCCCAGATGAAGGTAGGTGGCTTTCCCCCGCCTGGCTCAGTGGCCTGCAGGGCACCCCCTCCCCCACGACCCAGTTCCTTTCCTTCCTTCCCTCCAACAGGATCTTGAAAGTAGCCGGAGAGTGAAGCCCATGGCGAAACGGTGCCAGCTGAACCCCCAGATAGCGCTGCTTCTTGGAGCAGGTGAGCCTGGGGGCCGGGCAGGACAGGGCCAGGCTGAGGCCTAGGAACATGGCAGAGCTTGGGTCTCTCTCCTCCCTCCCAGGCCCTGCAGCTCTGACTTGTGCTGAAACTCTTCGACAAGGCGGCTTCACCGGCAGGATCATCATGGCCACCTGGGAGAACCACCTTCCTTATGACAGGACTAAACTGAGCAAGGTCTGAGCTGGGGACGGGAGAGCAGCGGTGGCTTCTCTGCGGGTAGTGGGATGCTGGTGCTTGGAAGGGGGGGGACCTTCCCACATTCCAGGGGTTAGGCATGGGCCTCGGGGCCTCAAAAGCAGTCATGCAAGAGAAAGGGGGCTACCCTAACCCCAAGAAAGCACACGGAGGTTCAGAAGTAACTCCTCCCCTCACAAAGCTGGAGGAAAAAGGGGAGGGGGAGGAAGAGGGAGGGGCGTGGCCCAAGATTCTCTCCCTCCTGCTCCTCTTGGATACTCCTGGTTGCTAAAGGGCCCCAGGCGCCCCACGTTCCTGGGTGTTGAGAAGCCCTATCCCCATGAAGCATTGCTTTTCCTCACTCCTTGCAGGAATTGGGTGCCACAGCAGAGAGCATTTATCTCCGATCTCAGAGTTTCTTGGACGCTCACAACATTGAAGTCTGGAAGCAGAGAGAGGTGGGTGGGAATGGCTGGGCAGCAAGTCAGAGAAGGGGCTGGCTCTTAAAATCCCTTTGTGCTCCACATCCTCCCCAGCAAGCAGCCCATCCAGGTCTGCCAGTGTCCTGAAGCTCAGAGGAGAATGCAGTTTCTGGAAGCACCACCATGAAATGCCGTCTCTGCTTCACTAGGAAGTAAAACCAAAATGTTGGGAGACCTGGCACCCCACCCCACTGATCACGTTTCAGCTCAGGAACATGTGGCTAAGTGCCAGTGGAGACTCCTTGGGAAGAACTTGCCCCAGTGCTGGCATAGCCAGGTCAGCCCAACAAGGCCTCCTCCGAGCCCGCTGCTGGCTCTGTGTCAGCCTGAGCTTGGAGAGGCTCAGCCTGCGTCTGCCCATCCCGTGCCATCTAGCGTGGCTTTCATCTGGCTGCAGGTGGTGTCTCTGGATCTCACAGGCAAGATGGCCCACTTCCAGGATGGGACGTGCCAGGCGTATGACAACCTGCTGATTGCCACAGGCAGCAGGTAAAGCGGTGTGACCTGAAGGTCCAGCCCCGGGAAAGGGAGCAGAAGGGGTTGCCAAGGCTTCACGGAGGATGGTACCACAGCTGCCTTGCTGGGAACAGACTGGCTTCTCTCCTTTTCTACCTAGCCCCCAGCAGCTCCGGTGCCCAGGGTCCAGTCTGGAGAATGTCTGCACGCTCCTCACGCCTGAAGATGCCCATCGTATCCTGGACTTAGCTGTGGGCAAGAGCGTTGTGATCGTGGGAGCCTCTTTCACTGGTATGGTAGCACTGGACTCGTTCTCTCCCCAACGCCGGGGGCAGCTCAGCACACTGCCTCTGCAAGCTGGGAGGACTAGAGGCTACCTACCTAGCCCCCAATTGTTTGCGTGGGCATTCTCTCAGCTCCCGGGCTTCCTTCCGTGCAGGGATGGAGGTAGCAGCCAGCCTTGTTGGCAAAGCAGCTTACCTTCAGGTGGTGGAAAGAGAAGAGCTGCCCTACCAGCTGGTCCTGGGAGGCCAGGTGGGCACCGTGGCCATGAAGGTAGGGAAGGGCAAGCAAGTCCTATAGCAGGGGGAGAGAAAAGGGGGCTCTTGGGGGTGTTGCCCCCCAGTGGCTCTACCCGAGGTCACCTCCAGATAGGCCAATCCTTGTGGCTGAGATTGGGCAGCAAATCTTTGTTTAATCTTGGGAAAACAGCTGCAGCTTGCTCTCATTTACTGTAGCCTCTTCCCCACCTCACTACAGCAAGGGTACAGTGCCTTTGCAATGCAAAAGTTTGCGGCAAAGAAAGTTTCCTTGGTGGGGAACAAGCACTTTCAGTTGCCAGCAGAGTCCCTCCTAGGTGCCCCACCACCTGTGAAGTCTCTCTGAACCAGGCCTGGTTGGGGGAGGCAGAATATGGCTGGAAGAGAACAGCACAGCAGGTAGAATAACCCTCCCTCCCCCCCTTTTTTTCCTTCCTCCCAGATGCTCCAATCCCAGGGAGTTCAGTTCCATCTGAAGGCCAATGTGGCAGAACTGCAGGGCAAGGATGGGAAGGTCTGGGAGCCTTGGCTCACCTGCTACCCCAGAGGCTGGCAGGCCAGGTCTACTGGGGGTGGGGGGCGGGGGGCTCTGCTGCTGCTGCATCTCTGCCTTCTTTCCCCTCCCAGGTTACAAGCGTCCTTCTTAGCAATGGTTCTGTTCTCCCTGCGGACCTGGTGGTGGTGGGGATCGGTGAGTTGGAGGAGCTCCAGCAGCATTTGCTCATCTAAAGGCAAAAGAAAAGGGAAAAAAGCAAGCAGGGGGTGGGCTTGTGCTGCGCTACAGGAGCAGGAAGCAGCTTCCCATTTCAAAACGGTCTGTGACCAGGGATGGAACAGGGCCAGTTACCTCCTCTTCTGGCCACCGGGGGGCAGCAAAGGCAAAGGCGAGGGAACAGAGGGCGGTGCTCCGCAGCTCACCCACAGCTGGGGGTGTTGGGGCTGTAGCTCTGCCGCATCTGGAGGGGGGTGGCTTTCCTTGCAGCTGCCCCACTAGCAAAGGCATGAAGAGTAGTGGCACGTGGGGTGGGAAGTCTCCAGCCCTGTTGGGGAGCGGGACCATCCCCACCCCCATTCCGTCTGGAAGGCGAGACCGTACAGGCTTATCACCCAGCTCCACTTGCCTCCCACAGGCGTCACCCCAAATTCCAATTTTGTCCAGGGAAGCTCCATCAGGCTTGACCACGAAGGCGCCATCCTGGTGGACCTGGTAAGCAGGGAGTGGGCCACCCGGAGTGGGCCACCCTGAGGGAACCACCACCTGCCCTTGCTAATCAGCACCACTGACCAGCTGCTGCTCCCCCTTCCAGTTCATGCAGACCAGCGCCCCGTCTGTCTTTGCTGCTGGGGACGTGGCATCTTTCCCTGTGGCTCTGCTTGATGGGAAGACTGCAGCCATCCGTCACTGGCAGATTGCCCAAGCCCATGGTATTTGCCTCTCTCTCAAGCTAAGCCACCTGTGGGGCAGGGGAATGACTGGGCGGGCTTCCAGTAGCCAATCCCACCCAGGGCGAAATGGGCACCCCTGTGGGTCCCCCAGGAACAGAACCTGGGTCTGGCTGACCCTTAATCAGATCCAGCCCCAGGACAAATGTCCCAGCTCTCCCTGGCTGAGGCTGGAGGGAGCTCCTCTGGAGCTCGCCTGACTGGTGCGTTCAGCGCAGGGGACGCTCCCAGCCGTCTTCCTCCTGAGGGCAATCTGACCGGAGAGAGCAGCTTGAGTGCAGCAGAACTGGGGATGGGGGGAACCCTTTCGCAGCTGCAGCCCCAGGCAGGTCTCAACCTGGACAGAGACCGGCAATTCCCCCACATGCGGCTCAGTGCGGCACACAAGCCCAGCCAGCCCAGGGCTGCACTCACCCGACAGCCCTTCTGCACCATGGGCCTGTTGGGTTCAGGCCACTCGAGCCCTCCTGAGCGTTTGGGCTAGCCAGCTGCTTGGCCTCCTTTGCGCTGCAAGGGGAGCAGGGCACTGCCACCTGATTGCCTGTATTTCCACCCCCCCCCCCCGGACATGTGGCTGCACTTAACATGCTGCAGAAGCAGGAGCCGCTCCACACGGTGCCGTTCTTCTGGACCAGGCTGCAGTCAAAGAGCATCCGATATGCAGGTAACCTGGGGAGCTGGGGGTGGGTCATAGCAGGGTGGGGGGAGCTATGGTGAAAGGTCCCAGGCCAAAGACGGGCCCAGCAGCTCGGCCCTCCAGGTGGAGCGCGTTGCCCTGCCAGAGTCAGACCTTGCCCCTGCTCTGCTTCCTCAGGCTGCGGGACGGGCTACACGGAAACTGTGCTGAAAGGCGATCTGGACCAGGAGCGGTTCCTCCTCTTCTACGTCAGGTGAGGATGTGGCTTTGAGGGAGCCAGAGGATGCAAACCACCTGCCTGGCTTTGCGGGGGGGGGGGCAGGAGCAAGGCAAGCAGAGTCTAGGTGAGGTGTCATGGGAGGGAGGGAGGGAGTTGGAGGACTGCGCTAGAATGGCCAACGTCCTGGCTCATCCCGAGACGGAGAGCTTATCTTGAGCAGATTCTGTTGGCTGAAGCCGTGTCACACTCAAATGCCAATAGATGCCCAGAAGAGCAACTTTGCCTACCCGTGACCCAGTCCTGGGCAGTTAGCTAGAAGTGGAGAGGTTGGGGAGAATGCAATTGCACCTCCCCCTTTGGAGGCCAAGATCCCTAGGGCCAGCGCTGAGAACCTCAACTTTGGGGGCCCTATGCACCCCTCCCCCCTTCCAGCAAAAGTTCTACATCACCAAACCTCTCTCTTCTCCCCCAGGGACGGGAGTGTGACTGCAGTTGCCAGCCTGAACTTTGACCCCCTGGTGGTCCTGGTGGCCGAGACCCTGTACTCAGGGAAAAGCATCTCCAAGCAAGAGGCAGAGTTCCTCCCTGAGACCACCAGCCCTTAAGCTCTGCGTGCTGGACGCCCCTTGAGCCAAGCGGTTTCTTTGCAGGATGAGGATGGAGGGGAAGGGGCTGCCGAAGGGGGGAGCACCCCAGTCGCCCACATGCACCGCTTGGCGGGAATATGCAGAAGGCACCACCTCATCTGGCTGAAATAAACCAGGAGCAGGAAAACTGCGACTCGGCTCTCTTTTTCTGAAACCTGAGCTGGGGGTGTCTGGCTCACCAGCCTCCTTTCTGCTTTGCTCCAGCTTGAGGCTCTAAGGGGAGTCAGACCCACGGCACGTTCGCTCCTGCTGAAATGTCACGGTCACCTCCAGCTTCTTGCACAGCGCACCTCTCAAGCCCTTTCTCTGCTGAGAGGCTGAAAGCAGTGGAGATGTAACAACCTGCGAGGAGATTTTCAGTTATTTGCACCCAAAGCCCTGAGAAGACTCCTGCCACAGGGAGGGCCCAGGAGCAACAGAGCAGGGGTGGGGCTGAGGGAAGGCTGTGAAGGCTTGGAGGGCCACTCCTGCCCATCAGTGTCCAGCTGAAGGGGAAGCAGCTGCTTCCTGGGCTTAGAATGCAAGGAAGCTGGGACCCTCCCCCAAATCCCAGGCAAACCCTTCCCCCTTCCAGAATCCCCTCAACTGCAGCAACGTTTCACTGGGCTGCCCTCAGCTGAGGGCTCTGCCCCTTGGCTTCCAGCTTCCACGGCCCAGCAATTCCACGCTCCGCCGGCAGATGGTGCAGTGGTCCTGGCATTGCTCCGCACAGCTGGATGCCACTGACTCCTGAACGTCAGGGGAGCAAACTC